TGCCTCCATTCAATATGTGAATAACTCAAGCGACAACGAAGTAAATCAATCACAAGCACTCACTTCTCATGCCCTATCGTTCTTCCAAAATCGATATGAGAAAATGGTACTTGTAAAGAAACCTAACAACTACTATTTCGCTCCCTCACCAACTGGCTTCCCTGAATTCATATATCCTCTTCTTGAAATCCTTCTAAATCACCCTATATATTATGCTCTCATAGCAACTAAACCTACCCCAGAAACCTATATTACCCAATTTTTGCTCAGTTCCTATATTACTACCCTGGAGAATTCTGGATTAAGCATAGTAGGTTATGTTTCACACCCTACTGTCAAATCGCTTGTTCCAATGGAAATAAACGTAAATACCCTGCGCATAGCCCTGCATCTACCTTTCTTGGAAGATCTCAATTTGGATACCTTCGCTCCATCTCCTACAGACGCCGAATTGATCRAATTCCTTGAATTTCACTCCTACACAGCAAAGACAAAAATCGTAAAAAGGACTGAATTCAAAAGGAAGGGCCTTCCCCCAATGTGGAACACTCTGTTCTCCATAATTAATTGTTGTCTAACAGGGAAGGTCGGCAGCCATGACTAAGCTTCACATGCCATACTTTCCATTGTATATGGAATCTACTTCAATATGCCCCTTGATTACGCGCAACTTATCTTCGATGACATGGTGGGCTTAATCAAAAAGAAGTGTGCTACTCAAAGGGGTGAGAAGTTAAAGGTGAAGGCACAGAAGAAAGCCAAAGAAGACCTCAATCATCCAAACTTAATCCTACAGAGGTTCTTTGGCTTGGTCTTTGGAGATATGATAGCAGAGAAGCTGACCTCTGCAGAGTCAAACGCACGATTGTATCCAATAAAGGAGTTCCACCCCATAGAGCATGAGCTAAGGTACAGAAGCCCAAGGCCGCTATCAAAAGCCATGCTCAAATACCTTAGCAGAGGATATAGAAAAGCGTATAGACGTGGATACAGGCGGCCAGAGCCGGTCCCTAAAACCCCTCCACGCATAGGTATCCCCATAGGAGAGAGTGCATAAAATGAGGGTTGAGGGAAGAAGGGAGGAGCCTGCAGAGGCTAGGGAGATGAGTGAGGAAAGACCAAAGGTAGTTAGTCCCCCACAAAAGCAAAAGAAGACAAAGAAGACTCAGAAGGATTTCGACTCTTCTGAGAAAAGGAAAGGGAAGAAGAGACCCGCAGAAGAAGAGGGTCCAAGCAGTCCTCTGCTAAAATCGAAAAAGAAGAAATCGAAGGCCCAACCCGCAGAGGTTGAGGTCACAGAGGCTGCAATCCAAGAAAGCCCAACAGAGGCTGCTCCTAAGCGCAGAATGTTGCGCAAGAGTGTTCAAGTAGAGTCCCCAACAGAGCAAATTCACGATGTAATCTTCAACCTCCAACAAGAGTTTAAAGCGCCCACAGAGGTGGCAGATTTGGGGACAGAAGTCGTTCTAGACGATGAAGAAGAAGAATTGGAGTTAGATGAGGGCAAAAAAGATGCCGAAGGCACATACCCAAGCCCCCTCCTAGTGCAAACCACATTGCTAGGGACCCTGTTCTAGAGGGAACCCCTATTGAAAAAAGCGTGCACACGCTGAGCCCTAAACTAGCAAACCTCGCAGAGGACATTCTTTCGTCCTCTGTCGAATACACAGTCCGGAAACCTCAATCTACTCCAACATCCTCTCAAAAGGATGCTGGTTTTACAATAAGAGTCCATTCGCCCAAGGACTCGTCACAACCCAGAGAGGCATTCATTGCCCCTCCACACTTAAGTGAACAACCAAGTTATGCTTCAGAGGCATACGAGAGATTCACAGAGACTGTGGGTCTAGAACGCCCAAAGTCTCCACTCGATCCCTCTGTCGAGTTAGGCTCTGAACCTACTAGGCACGACATCGACAGAACACTGGTAGGCTCTCCAATTGGAATGTTCGAGGATCCGGTGGAAGTCCCCAAGCTGACATCGACAAACCAGTCACTGAGGGCGCCTTACACTCCAAGGCTACTAGGTCACCATGTGTTGGTGATCTAGGTTCCTTGAGTGCCTATGTGACGAAGGGGGAGTTACAAACCTTCGCCACAGAGGTATTCCAGAGGTTGGATGAGTTGAAAAGCTTATTCTCCTCCCAACCGGCGACAGAGGCTTTTACAC